GGTCTCCAGGAATTGTATAATTTATCATTATCTGTGTTTAGTTTAGTTTAGATATCATTTGTTAAGGCCTCGCTCAACAGCGGCCTCGCTTCGTACACTCTATCATTTAGCCTCGATCTAAAATTACCGGGAGTATGACGTCAACGTAACGGTTAATCTCCGCTCACGACGCCATTTAAAAATTTAATCAATCAATGAAATCCTGTTTAAATCCAAGCCGAATCCAAGCCATCCGTGGGTCTCCAGAGTTGATTTTGTGCTTGTTGTGTAAATCCCTATTTATAATTGTATGTTGTATTTGATAAAATATCCATATACGGGTGTCAAAAATAAAGACTGAAAGTATTTTTTATTAATTTAATTACAAGTACATCTAAATACGTATTTGACCATGCATGAAGTTGTTCGAAATGCCCATTCAATAATTAAATCGAAGTTGAGATGAATAAAATATAATTCAGTTTTCGAGTGATAAATTACAATTATCACTAAAAAAACGACCATTTTTCAATCATAACTTTATTGTCTCTAATCCAACGAAATGGCGTTTCCCGGCTTCTAATTTTAAAAATTTTCCGGGGGAGGGCCCCCCGTACTCCCCTTGCATGCTCATGCCTGCGGCATTCGATGTGGGCGGCGCTTCCGCCAACACTCTCCGCAGCCAGTAAATGTAATTTACCATGAACACACTTGCAGAAAGTTGGGCTCCCCTAAAAAAAATTTTTGCACGACGCCCCTGCGCCGTTGGGGCGTTTTTGAGATATTCGGGGTCAAAGGTCCAATTGCACTGAAAGTGAATGCGCAGTCATTCTTGTATCATGAAAATAAGCTGAAAATGATCGTAAGTAATCACACTTTCAATAAAAATGTAAACCTGTTAAATTCACCTTTGTTCTTTGTGACCCCAGAGATCAAAAGGTCATATTTTCCGTTTTAGCACTAGGAAGATTTAAAGTAATAAATGTCAGCGTAAAATATAAAAACTAAAGCGATACCTGTTCTAATTGGAGGGTTTGGATGGCTGAATGGTTTCGAATCCCCGGTTGTACGTGACAAGGAGTAGGGTCGCATGTCCAACCTCGTGGGTTTTCTCCGAGTCCTCCGGTTTCCTCTCACTGTTAAAGACCCCTAGGCGCAAGCGAATTATTGAAATAAAATTAAACCATATGTTAGTCCCGAAATGACCTAGTTTGTGTCGAGTGGACGTTAAACCCCATTTCTCTCTCTCTCTGTTCTAATTAATAATTTAAAATTTAAAATTTATCTTTAGGTGGTCTTAGCACCGAACTTTTACCCTGGAACGTCGAAAATGATCTTGCATAACAGAACCAAAACGGTTCGGAACCTGTTTCAAAAATACGTAAAAACTGTTAAATCAAAATCTCTCAGAATTAGTTTTACAACAAATGCTATACATAATGATACTAGTTGTCTGAAAAAACAATGGAATAGTTTCATGGCTGGACTCCAGCCTGCAGGCCGCGTCACAAAGCCTGCCAAACTTTTCCCTGCTAACATTTACCAATACGACATATATATCGGTTTTATCTGGGTCCATGTTCCGGCGAAATTCATAAAAACTTATAAAATGTTTTAATCTCGTCGTCAGATACGATTTGACAGTTTTACATATTTTTGAAACAGGTTTCTAAGTGTGTTGGTTCTGTTATGCAAGATCTTTTTCGACGTTCCAAAGTAAAAGTTTGGTGCGTGCTAAGACCACCTAAAGATAAATTTTAAATGTTCTTATTATTAATTAGAACAGGTTTCGTTTTAGTTTTTATATTTTACGCTGACATTTATTACTTTAAATCTTCCTAGTGCTAAAACGGAAAATGTGACCTTTTGACCTCTGGGGTCACAAAGAACAAAGGTGAATTTAGCAAGTTTACATTTTTATTGAAAGTGTGATTACTTACGATCATTTTCAGTTTATTTTCATGATTCAAGAATGACTGCGCATTCAGTGCAAATGAACCCATTTGTCCTTTGACCCCGAATATCTCGAAAACGCCTCAACGGCGGACTGATTACCACTCGGCATCGTATTCTACACAAAATTTTACTCTAGAAAAGTTGGGTCTGGTTTCGTGCCCATTTGATGGACATTGTACAAATTTGGAATGATCACTACTTTTAAATAGAGGATGGCACCCACCCTCTGATGTAAATGCATGCCCAAACCACTACTGCTTGAAGCATGGTCTCTTCGAATCTGTCTGCTTGACTTGTAACTCTATATTGATTAATCAATTTTAGGCTTATATCATTTTCCATTCGTATAAAATATCACTGTATTGATTCAGAAATAATCGAAATAATAATAATAAAAAAACAAACGAAAAATAAGGGGGGAGGATTAACTACGGAATAATTCCATTGGACCGTATGGTACCTTTAGAGTGTGTTCACAATCGCTGAATTCAATTTTGTGCCTATTTGCCATCATCTAGGCCTTGGCCCCATTAGTGAACACGCAATTGGGCGATAATCGTGATTATCGTGATAATTTATACGTGTGTCTTAAGAAGTCAAATTTTGAATACTTGGTCCGAGAATCGTCGCTTGATGCCACATTTTTGTTGGTAACGTCAGTGATGGAGTTTTATCTTAAACCAGCTGGTACTTAATAATGCTATTTTTACGGATGAATTTAATTCTACCAATAGAATGTCCTACGTTAGTCGAAGTAAAATATTAATGACTAGCAGGATACCCGGCTTCGCTCGGGGGTCATAACTCCGAAACCGGAAGTGGTAGACTAACGCCACCTGGCCTTTGTTACACCCCGGTCCGAGCTACCCCTATACCCCAAATTTCAGACTCGGGGCAGACCTAGTGTAGCCGCCAACCCCGAACAGACCGGCTTCGCTCGGGGGTCATAAAACCGGAAGTGGTAGACTAACGCCACCTGGCCTATATTACTCCCCGGTCCGAGCTACCCCTATACCCCAAATTTCAGACTCGGGGCAGACCTCGTGTAGCCGCCAACCCCGAACAGACAGAGAGACAGACAGACAGACAGACAAACGACAGTCACAAATATATATATATAATAATACTTAAACATAACTGGAAGGGTTCGAAAATCTACTTTTTGATATTTATAAGACAGTGACAGTTGCGAATGAGGTAAATACCATATTTTACGGGGTATATGTCGATGAGGGGTATAAGTCGATGAGGGGTATAAGTCGAATCGTCATATTTTACTGTTTTTCCGACCTCTGTCCATAGATAATTCGAAGCGGCGCAGTGTAAGACGAATGTTTTCCATTCATTTTGGGCAGTAATCTGTTATCGAGTTACGGTAGTGTTATTATCCTAGTCTAATACTGTGTCGATGTACATAAAAAAAAAACAATTAATGTAAAATAATTAGTTGCTAAATGCAGTACTAACTTATAAGTTTTGTTCTTGATTGATTTGAACCTCTTTTTATTCCAATATCTCCGATAAATACAAAGACAATACATCGTTTCTATTCGCACGTGACCTGCGATCACACGTGTAATAATAATAGAATAAAATAAAATAAAAGGCGTCTATTGATTGGACATTAAAAAAAAATAATTACGGGCTTTCAAAGTAGAATTTTTATGATAGGTTAATTTAGTTGAAAACTGAAGTAGAATTCTTGCGAGAAATCACGTTATGTTTCTTGTCGGTAGAAAAATTCTATCTTAATGACATTTTCTAGCCTTTATTAAAAGTTTGTTATATTTTTTTAAAAAATTAAACAAACTATGTATATTTAGAAACTCCGACAAGTATTTGTATTATAATAATAGCAAAAGTCGGAACAATGTGCGTTGACTTTGTCGTGAGAATGCTATTATTTTGATATTTAGCAAACGATGTCACTCATCGTACTTCGTAGGGCGACAGTTACAGAGGAAAGGCATTTTTTTATCTCATGTTTTTTGCCTTCATCGGTATATAGGTCGATACAGACTATAAGACGAATGTCCGACTTAGGCCGCGGAAAAAAGTATCGACTGATATCCCGAGAAATACGTCACTGTCCAATCTTGACCTTGCCAAACAACTGTTCCTCGATTACGAGTCCTTGCATCGTATGATATAGCATATTATCATCAATATTGAGACATGATAATTATCATATCGCGGTAATTTTTGTACGATATACCGGTTTTCGATATTTTTAAAATAAGTCCGATATGATAAAATCGTCGATGAATTTATCACGATATACCGAAAAACCGGTATATCGCCCAACCCTACGATAAGGTCAATAAGAGCTGCAATTCGTTTTTCGCACCTTATAAAACAGTTCTCCTACCTGCTAACAACAATGTGTTGATTGTAAACCATTTGACGCGTCTTAAGGCTTTCTATAATTCCCTATGCACCCTTAAATAAAATAAAAAAATGTAAAAAAATCTACTGGAAATCCCGGTCTTAACTATATCGCCCCGTTATCTATAAGTATTGACGGGGGTCGTACACGAGGAAAGGTATGCTTAATGGTTAGACAACTCCTAACACCACTTATTATTCAAGGTAGGAATTAACATAGCTAACTAACTTACGTCCCTCTATTGTAATTCTAGATTATTTGAATATAATATCAAATATAATTTCCCTTTGAACGCAAAATGTTTCATTATTCAGAGAAAACTATTTATCTGAAGCGTTAGTGTTGGAAATAGCTACAACCCTCAGAAACACAAACTACGGCAGTGCTATTGATTCTTTTTCTTAGGGTAATAAAATTTGAAATTCAATTAACATTTCTGAATTTCTGTTGGCATCTTCTTTTAAGGTATGCGGGCACAGATGATACCCGACATTGCTGCATAGCAGATCTGTTTAACATAGATTCATTAATTATTACATTGTCGTTCGAATGTTGCGATATTTATGCACGTTTATAATTATTCTAGAAAAGAAATTAAATATTTCCCTCTCTCTCTCTCTCTCTCTCTCTCTCTCTCTCAGAAATATCAATTATTTAAACGTTTTGTTTCCTCTTCCAGGTCAACATGAAATCCCGGAAGTTATATGCTGTCATGTCAATATTAACTGTGTGTTTTATATACGTTTATTATTTTTTGACCAACATACAACCAGGATGTAGGATGAAGGCGGCACCAGTTCAAGATCGTATGTCCTTTATAAACCAAACAACTAATCGTATGACGATCTCTCACTTTAAAGACGTTCCGGATATGACGTTAACAATAAGAATGACTGCCAAACCTGGTCTGCTATTTTTTTTTTTTTGTGCGTTGTTGAGAAGTCTGACTCTGTATTGGCCAAGCCAGCTTAGTCATCTGGGCGTAATACTGGACAAAGAATCCGAACTTGATCACAAATTCGCAAAAAGTCTACGAAAATACCAAGAACAACTAGGAATAAATATGAGCTTTTTCTATGAACCCTTGCCACAAGACGAACGTGTTTTAACTGCCGCGAAGCCCCATTCACGTGGCTACAATCGTCAACTGTATTCTAGTTTTATCATGGACAAATTCATCTCAACACCGATAGTAGCTTTGATAGATACTGATGTTAAATTTACTACTCCAGTAACCCGTGAAAATATTCTTAACGGAAATAAGCTGCGCGTAAAAGGATTGTACATGTTTCATCATGTTTGGCTAAAAACCTGGGATACATTTACTGAGAAAATGATAGGGAAACCTATGCCGACAGACTTTATGACCTTTTTTCCGATGTATATCTGGAGAGACACAATAACCAATTGTAGGAATCACATCTTAAAATATGTCAACGTTTCTACTATAGAAGAGGCTTATATTAAAATAGGATCTCAGTTGACTGGGAGTATGAGCCCATCAAATATTTTTATGACGTATGCGTTTTATTTTGAAAAAGAGAGATATGATTGGCACATTGATATTGGAAATGGAAATTTAAAGAAATACAACAAACTTCATCTGCTTCCGGGTCACGAATTAACTTCCGTCGATATGATACCCGATTTGCACGTGGCGTTGCATGCAAAAACTCATCACGATGCTGAAAATATAGTAAATCGTCAAGCTTATTGTGCTGCTGTTGATGGCACGGTACTGACCGTGGAACAGAAGATAAAACAAATGTGTGAACCATTTAAAGGACATGTAATGTGGGTATTGTTTGAATTCTGTAATAGAAACAAACAAGACCACCTTACCACGTGGTGTAAAGCTAAAAATAATAGCTGCGAATCTATGATAAGAGAACATTATACAAACACGCGACAACTTGTGAATAAAGGCGTGTACAACCTTGACCTAAAAAAGATCAAGGTCGTTGAAGAGGCTGCGAAATTACATGCCATTACGTGTAGGCCATTTTTGTAAATTACCGGAATGAACCAAAAAAAGAAAAAAAAGTAGCGTATATAGGGCTCTCTGAGGTATATTCACGGCGTGTAACACAAGCTGAATAAAATATAAAGATTTAATATTTTTCCGCAACATAAGTTTCAAATGCCAGTAGAGTTAATTCACATGACATCACACACATTGGCCGCCGCCATCTTGGTGGACAACCAGACTACACGTGATTTTTATGTTGAATAAAGATTTTGTCTGTGTATTTTAAATTTAATTTCTATTAAAATCCGAATTCAACCGTGACATAACTCGTTTATAGCGACAAAACGATGTTTGTTTATAGGCTATACCCGGTATAAAATATTTGTTTATTTAAAATCCGAATTCGATCGTGGCATATAACGCGTTTATAGCGACAGAACGGTATTTGTTAATATGAAATAATATAAAATTCTGTTTCTACCGCGTTAAGTATTTAAAAATATTTACAATTATATTTATTTATATAGGCGAACTATTTGTATCGTGTTTGTGTACCTACATGGATAATGTCTGACGTGGAAAATTATAAGTTATATAGGTTAGTTGCTCACGCGACATTTCGAGACCTACGTAAATTCAGTTTTTATTTTTATTTATTTATTTATTTTTTTTAAACAAACCCATTAATTAAACACACACACTCACACACACACACACACACACACACTTATTATAGAAAATCGTGTGAGAAGCTCGATACCGTACATAGGGTGATGAATCGAACGTTTGAAAAACTGTTCTGACTCACTGGATATATTTTCTTTCTTTTTTTGTTTGTAAATTTTAATTTGAGGTTTAATAATTATTCACTGATTCGATATAATCATCATTTTATTATTTCTGTTATTCATCTTTATTCAAGAGAAAATATCGTAAAAGTGCAGGCTGTCCGATACGTCGCCAACTATTTTATCATTGGTTAGAGCCGTCTAAACGCGGGAAAATTTCCAGTAACTATTAGCTAACAGCATGCAAGCACAAAGGCCAACAATCTTATTTGCATATTGCATACTTTATAGTATTATTGGCTGGAATTAATTTTAGATCGATAACCTCAATGACCAATATGTAGTACCGTAGGTCTATATAGTGTGTAGTTGCTATATAATTTGCCATTAGGCCTATACAAAAAAAAAAAAAAATAAGTAACTAATAGAATAATTTCACGTCAACAAAAATATTTCAAGCACATATTTACTTTAGGCATCGTGATTCCAGAACGAGTATCGAATTCAGCCATAGGCTACTTTAAAATTTTCATTGGACGATATTCGAGGATTCGTTTATTTGGGCTTTATTTGCAGTCTGGGGGTTCGGGTTTTTTCTTCTTTTTTTGGGGGGGGGGACAAATTTGTAAGAAATGACGAGAGCGATTTTATCTACGGAAGAGCGATGAAAAATCCGTCTAAAATGATGTTTGAGCGACAGCGATCGCTCGCCTCAAACGTGAAGCGCTGTTACATTGCTCGATTTGATATAGATCGAATAAGAAATTACATAATGTATCATGTTACCTATCAATCACTGAAAAGCATGTTTATTGCCCCTTTCAAATATGTAAATAATTTTCCAGGACAGTCATATTTACATGCCTTGAAAAGCGATGAAAGTCCAGTGTGGTACGAAACTCGTATTATTTGACGGGAGTAGGGGTATTTAAATTAAAAATACGGGTCTTAATACAAAATTCCAGATATTATATTACGTATCACTGAAAAGCACGTTCATTGCTCTTTTCAAATATGTAAATTATTTTCTGGCGTATTTATATTTATTTACTCTGAAAAACAATCAATGTTGGATGGTACTAAAATCTATTACCATGATTACGAAGAGGCGGCGTGTTGTTATCCACCAAGGCTGTAGTAAAATTAAATTCCAATGATTCCCATTCGTTGTCCAAGTGTGACAAGAAATAAAATCTGAGAGAAAAGCCGAAAGCCTATTATATCCGTATTATTAATGATCTCACATTTCCTGACGAACTGGCAGCACTAGATGTCTACCAGAAGGGTCCAAGCCAAAGTAAATACTACCCATTCTGGTGTATCAAATGTATGGTATGTCGGGTGTTCGATCCCTGCATTGGCCGAGAAAGTTCATCCAGATTTTTCGGCGTGGTTCCCCCTTGTCAGTGATGCAAGACGGAGAGCCTGACAAGGACAGCTGTCTAGTCCTTCGGATGAGACGAAAAACCGAGGTCCCGTGTAAGCATTGGAATGCACGTAAAATATCCCTTGGCAGTTGGAATTCGATATAAGAGTGGGCGATAGTGCCGCTGCCCGGGCAAAATTTCCCTCATAGAACACTGTATGGCGTATGCCCGTCTTCATTAGCCCAGTATAGGAGCAGAACAGTAGGACGTTAAACCTCATTTCATTTTATTTCATTTCCATATAAAAGACATGCCAAAAGTCATATCTCAAGAGATAATCGCTGCCCTTTTATTACCAAATTATGTTATTTGGGTCTTTTAAAATGGTATTACGTGTATCTTACGAAATTTGGCAGCCATTCTGAAAGAAATGCCCGCCACCACATGAAAAATACCTTTTTTTTTTAAATTGATGTTTGTCAAATTCGATTTTTCGGCACATTTCGCTTGTATAACCACTCTGTTTGTGAGTAATTTAAAAAGAAATTATTTATCCTCCCATCACTGAAAGACACCAAATACGAGATATAGTTCTCCAATAATTCCTGAAGAACGCCGTTTTGAATTATATTAATTATGTCATTTTGCCTTAGACGAATTCGGCCGATTTTGAGTGTGATTTTATCTGACATATTTATCATTGAACCAAATTACATTGGTTTCTTTTGCAATTTGTTTGGGATAAACAGTAGCCCATAAAACGTTATCCCAAGAAAAAAATAAAACGTTTTGTTAAGTAAAGCTCTATGACGCCATGACGTCATAGTTTTTATGGCGTTATAGTTGAGACCCAAAATGGCGCCGGTAAATGAGTTGTCGCAACTTTACCTATACAGAGCTTTGATCATACTATCTCTATTACGTCACACCCGGAATACAGTCACTAATAATAATTGTATTTACGTTCCTTACATCATTATATAATAACAATACATCAAGACACCACATTTCCCCTCTCCTGGAGAAATTCCTTTGTACAGTGTACTATCTATTTCTTATGAACATAAACCTTAAACCAAACAGGGGTTGATCTTACTCTCGTACTTGATCTTACTCTTGATGGATTATTAACAATTGAATCGTTTGGAACATTGCGTGGAACATTGTGTGGAACAAATGCTACCCTTTCTATTAATAGCATTATTAGGTGGATTAAAATACATATCAACACCATTTTTCCCCTCTGTTTCAAAAATAATTCCCATAGAAAGGTGAGATATATTTAACATTCCATCTCTGACCATTATCTAAAATATATGTGTAAGAACCAATCCTAGATCGAATACGAACTGGATCTGTATATTTAGAATGACCTTTTAGAACATACCAAGGTTTCTTTATGCGAATAATGTCACCTATTTTGAAATCTCTTGAAAGAACACCCTTACGTTTACCAGTATAAGCCTTTCTTAGGTTTTGCTTATGACTAACTCTATCATTAATTTCATAATCAGACAAAGGAGTAGGAGGTTGTGTAACAAATGGAATATCTAATAAAGTTCTCATAAGTCTACCATGTAATACAATAGATGGAGATTCACCAGTAGTACAGTGACGACTGGAACGATAGGTACCCAAGAATTCTGTATCCGCAGTACTAACATTCTTATGTTCAAAACGCGCTGCCTGAATAACTTCAGAAAGAATTCGATTAAAGCGTTCAATTTCAGAATTCCCTTCCGGATAATAAACTGACGAAAAGCGGTGAATAATAACCCTCTTTCTTAGTAGTAGGAAACAGGTATAATCATAATGTAATAAGCAAGTATTCCAACGAGCAATACGCATTGGTTTATGACCATGCCCCATTGTCGTTAATAAGTTCTTAATTCTTAGTTCTTAATTCATAGTCCTTAATTCTCATTTCTACATTTGCTGTCTTATTTAGACATTTGTACACTAAAATCACCATTTATATCTTAAAATGAATATTAGTTTTACAAATCAGACAAATGAAGAAATAAGAATTAAGGACGGTGAGTTAAAACTGTTTGGTCTTCGATATGACTATGGTGCATCGTGTAGTTCAGATAGAGTCTCAAGAGCATGGTGTACCCTGTAGTTCCGCCATGGTCAATAGACCATGGTTTACCCTGTAGTTATGATAGAGTCTCTAAACCATGATAAACCCTGGCGTTCAGATGGTGTACCCTGTAGTTCAGATATAGTCTTTAGATCATAAATTACCATGTAGTTCGGGTTCCATATTGTTTATATTTTACCAAGTCGATCGTTCAATGAATATGAATTGTGCAATTGTTTTATATTATGTCATTGAATCGTTGTCTTTAACCTGACAGGTATAACATCATCGTGTGATTTTCTTACGTCGTTGGCTGTATAGCTCACTGTGCTACCTGAGAGGTATGTGCAACCTTAAATATATTAATATACTCTTAAAAAAAGTAGGGAATATTCAGAAACAATACAAAACTGCGGAAATACATTGCTGTTTTTATTAGAGGTAACCAGTGTATGTTAATAACAGGTTAATCGCTTACACATGAACATAAACAGATTTACAATCCATATTTTGTTTCACATAGACTTTCACATCTTTAGTAATTTGAACGAATATTCCTTCTAAAAATTGGGAACAGGTCATACAACAGGATGCGACACTCTAGACCACTAGGCTATACCCCAACCCCCAACGACCCCCCCCCCCTCCATTCGTGCACTGAATGGGATCTGTAAATTATAGGCCTGCAGAGCTTTGGAGCATCGGAATATTAAAATAACGTAATTTCTTATGCAGGTAAAATAAACCCGAAGTGAAGCTGAATTATCATATTTGGGTATAATCCCATCTTTAGTCATTTTTTGGGAAAAATCCCCATTTTATCATTTGATGGGTAAACCCCCGCTTTTGTCATTTTTGGGAAAAATTCCCCATTTTCATCATTCAGTGGTTAAAATCCCACTTTTGTCATGTTTAAGGAAAAATTCGTCGTTTTTTGGGAAAAATCTCCATTTTATCATTTGGTGGGTAAAACCCCGCTTTTGTTATTTTGGGGGAAAATTCCCCGCTTTTGTCATTTTGGAGGAAAATTCACCTTGTATCTCGAGGTCGTCTCAAGGTTTTAACTGCGACGGCCACAAAAAAAAGAGACATACATCACATTAGCATTTTATAATTTAATGAAAATATAACAATTGCCATGATGAAATATGACAGACTGACTTCTGTGTGTCCTTATAAAGACCGTGTAATGTGTAGGCTTACTGAACATAATTCATATTATATTCAAGTGTCATTTTTTGAATAAAATTCATCACTTTAACGATTACGGTGAGTTCATCTCACCAATTATAAGACTGAATATTTAGTCACTTTCAATATTTGTTTTTTTCCATCTAATTACCTATAACACCTAATCCTAATCCGCATAATACACTAATCCTAATTAGACCTTAATTGGATTAATCAAAAGTGGGCACAGTGAGATGTAACCCCAAACACTGGCCACATTGTAAACTTTTACTAATTTAAAAAGCTAGATTTCTCGTTTAGTACAGTCTTTACACTGAGTTCAGTCATACTTTAAGAAATAAAATAAATTTAGTACAGAAAATAGATTATAAACCAGTGGTCCCAATCCTGGTACAGAAACATAGGATGTGAAACCCTATTCTCTTATTTCACTCATAGATCCATTAGGACATTTGATAAAACTCTTGAGGACCGTTCCTTATACCCTATCTGAATTCTCTCCTTTTAGCAAGATTTCACATATTAGTGAAGTTAAGTGGCCTTTTCACATAATTTTTTGATACACCCTAACATGGTCCATTGTAATAGTGACAGAGAGAGAGAGAGAGAAATGGGGTTTAACGTCCACTCGACATAAACTAGGTCATTTCGGGACTAACACATGGTTCAATTTTATTTCATTAATTCACTTGCACGTAGGGGTTTTTAGCAGGGGGGGGGGGGAACCGGGGGACCCAGAGAATACCCATGAGGTTGGACAGACGACCCTACTGCTTGTCACATACAACCGGGGAAGTGAAACCATGCCTGTTGACTCAATGATGCAGAGTCAATGGTTTTACCTATATACTTGCCACCACAACCATTACAAATTAACAGATAAATCACATATTTGGATTTACAATCCATATTTTGTTTCACATAGACTTTCACATCTTTAGTAATTTGAACGAATATTCCTTCTAAAATTTGGGAACAGGTCATACAACAGGATGCGACACTTTAGACCACTAGGCTATACCCCAACCTCCAACGACCCCCCCCCCTCCATTCGTGCACTGAATGGGATCTGTAAATTATAGGCCTGCAGAGCTTTGGAGCATCGGAATATTATAATATTGTAATTTCGTATGCAGGTGAAATAAACCCGAAGTGAAGCTGAATTATCATATTTGGGTATAATCCCATCTTTAGTCATTTTTGGGGAAAAATCCCCATTTTATCATTTGATGGGTAAAACCCCGCTTTTGTCATTTTTGGGAAAAATTCCCTATTTTCATCATTCAGTGGTTAAAATCCCACTTTTGTCATTTTAAGGAAAAATCCTGTTTTCATCGTTTTTGGGGAAAAATCTCCATTTTATCATTTGGTGGGTAAAACCCCGCTTTTGTTATTTTGGGGGAAAATTCCCCACTTTTCTCATTTTGGGGGAAAATTCACCTTGTATCTCGAGGTCGTCTCAAGGTTTTAACTGCGACGGCCACAAAAAACAGAGACATACATGTGGTCAAGCGACTACGTGCCATTGGAAGTCACAAGTGTCAAGGCCTGATTCCATTTCACAACCTTCCCGGAGCTGACAGGGGAGGTAAGTTTGTGGGCACCACAAAAAAAATATGGGTTTGTGCATACCTTTTAAGGTATGCAATATATTCAAATATATTGCATACCGTTTTTGGTGACTTTATGAGTCCCCCCCCCCCACCAAAATGAGCCTACATTTTGAATTTGGTCCCCTAATGGAATTTGCCATCTTTTTTGGGAGGAATACCCAAGTTCACTGGATTCAGAGGGTCGAATTCTTATAGAATCCATCTTAAAACCGAGGTCCGACAGAATCTGTCACATACTTTACCCCACTAAATAACCAGAAAATGCCTCATGCCATCGCGGCCATCTTGAATATTTAAATTTCTCTAAGGGTGCCAAGGTGGCATCATCCGGATCTGAATCTATATATACATGTATTGAAGATATATAATGCACTACAGAACATTAGGTGGACTATATTTCCACGTCAAGGCTTAAAAGGGGGTTTGGCAACTGGACTATTATATGCTTATCTCGCATGACACGTGTCTGTGCAAAGAAAACATAGCAGAAACCCGTCTGAATAAATTCAAAAATGAAATGAAATGAGGTTTAAAGTCCTACTGTTCTGCTCCGAACTGGGCTAAAGAAGGCGGGCATACGCCATACAGTGTGCTATGAGGGAAATTTTGCCCGGACAGCGGCACTACGGCCTACTCTTATAACGAATTCCAACTGTCAAGGGATCTTTTACGTGCACGCTAATATGTACACGGGACCTCGGTTTTTCGTCCCATCCGAACGACTAGACAGCTGTCCTTGTCAGGCCCTCCGTCCTGCATCACTTACAAGGGGGGGGGGGGCACGCCGGAAAATCTGGATGAAGTTTCTTCTCGGCCAATGCAGGGGTCGAACACCCGACCTCCAGGCTAGCGAGCCAGCGTCTGAATAAATTCAACCCTGTACTAGTCAGCTTTTCATTCGTGTAAGCATAAAATGAATGAAACACAAAATACAAATAGATTAAAGTTCCATTGTTATAGCACCCCCCCCCCCCCCCCGTCCCCGTCCCCAAAACACCACACCCGCAAAACTATTATAATTACGTGCGTGGACGTGGACTTACAAACGCGAAAGGGACAACAACCTCAAAAATAAAACGAATTATGCTTATCGCTAACTCCTATTCAGAAAATGGTATTTTTTTTCCGGTAATAATAGTTATTTTGTATTGAATATATTCTGGTTGTACTAGCACGGTAAGAAATAGAGAAAACCTTTCATGTTATAATTGCAGATTTATTCAACATACCAAAAATAAAATGCTGTTTATTTATGTTTCAATTGAATCAAAAATCTACATGTCGACGGACCAGTACCTGAAAAAGAAAATAAACATAAGAAAAAACAAAAACGTTTTTTAAAGTGTCATACACTACTGCACGGTATATTTCTATTTTATAATGTCTAAGTGGCACTTTCACTTTAGAAAGCATTATTAATCACTAACTTATGAAAATACAGATCTATATTTCGTTTTTTTATACTTTCGATGGCCTCCCCTGCATGAAGATCTGACGGGTTGATTGGAAGGTCGCGTTAGGGGTCACACGAGCGTCTTTTGACCCTATGACGCTAGACATTCATTAATCAATCAGAGTTGACGTTTCTAGTGGTTTACCAACAGTTCCGTGCACCGCACGCCAAAATCTTGCTGTAACAGACCATTTCATTGGCTTATCCCTCACATTAACCAGAACGCGGCTTATATAACAACTCTTCCAGATCCTTGTGTAGTAAAGACATATAAAACGAAATTATGAACTATAATAGACGAAACGAAATAGGATCTGTATTTTAATCAGATTTTATTAATCAGGATATTAATTTACCAAAAATATAATTAATACTAATTTACAAAAGTATCATATAAATTTGAAATTAATCAGGATATGTATTTCCAAAAATATAATTACTCAAGACGTTCATTTACTCAATATACAATTAATAACGGCGTTCATTAAACATCTTGAACATTTTCTTGTATTGGGATGAAATCTTTTTTCTGAGATAGACATGTTTTGACAATGTAATCTTGTTCTTTCTATGACAAATTCCTACATCCTTACATGTTCCTAAAGCAACGACTGCGAGTTTGATAAAATGTACTTAGTTAAAAGGAGACCAAGCCTTCTATTGAAGATTCCATTCTTAAAGGTTTTAGCGTGCTGGGTTTCTTTAAAACATAGAATGATCTTCTTACCTTACATTGGTCTGATTTCAACTGTAAACCCAGTCTTTGTTACGCTATAATCACTGGTAAAACTAACTTGAACACACCCCTGGTTGGTACTCTCTGCAAAGGTAAAGCGGGTAAAGAGGATATATAATACGAGTTACTGGTGGGACTAGAGCCCAATCACTGTTACCAGTCTGGTGAGCTTAACTGTGTGGGTTCATAAATTGCAACCTCCGGACATTAGTGATAACTGCACAGACGGAAATAAGGGAATATTTCCTAATTGTGTAAAATGACTGATTTCTACTCTTAAACATGACTGGCCATTTAAAAATCCGTGTTAACGGTGTTTTTATAGTGAACAACAGATTATCGAGATTATTGATATTCAGCAGATTGTGAAATACTACTGTAATTCACCATTTTAGGCGCACGGATTTTGTTCAATAATAATGATAATAACAAAAAATTTAATAAAAAAATTTAAAATGATGATAACAATAATATTACATACAATATGCAATAATTAACAATAAAATGTTCAAATTTATATGAGGAAAATTAAATCCCTTTTACGCAATTCACGTTTCACAATAATTAATGTTTGTAAAATGAATAATAAATCAACGATAAAATAAGTTCTTACCGGCGAAGCTTACAGTTGATAAACCACAGTATTTAGAATTTTGTATCTTCAATGAATCATAACTACAGGAGGAATGAGCTTCTATGTCCATTTTCGTGATACTAATCCTGGCCTGTGTCGTATTAGTACAGACATTCCATTCACAGGAAGCATAATTAGGATAATCTCCGGTACCAGGATAGTCTATCTCTGTCATATTCCCAACACTTGTCGCTAATACACAATCTGAAATTTACGAGAAGGGAAAGACTGACTTTACCGATGCACTTGCATCACGGAGAACGATCTTGAATGTTTGGTAAAAAATTAATTTTTTATTTGACTTACAGTAATGTTGGTGTGTGTTTTATTACACCGTATGAAACCATACAGACGTGTTAGGACGATTCCCCGTTTGTACGTTACATGGAGTAGGTTCGCCTGTCCAACCTCGTGGGTTTTCTCCGGGTCCTCCCATTTTCCTCTCTCTCACTGCGAAAGACCCCTACACGCAAGCAAATTATTGAAATAAAATTGAACCATAGTCCCGAAATGACCTAGTTTGTTTCGAGTGGACGTTAAACCCCATTTCTCTATATGTTAGGGCATAGACATAGATGGGACAATTTTTCAAAGATTTTAACGAAGGTTAGTACAAATACCTTGATGAGTATAGTAAGGCGATTTGTTTCGAAATACCATATTTGTCTCGAGAGAAATGTAAAATATCCTTTACACAAAATTTCTCTTTTCCCAAATTTAGAAACTACTAAACTAATAATTTGAATGCCCAGACTAGTACAAAACCTCTTTTGAATTACTACTTACTGTTAGACGAACTTTGGTTACCGTAACTGTAGTTTCCATAAGGGCTAGCGGTGGTGAGTGTTGAGTTGCCAGTTGAGTTACTGTAAGACGAATTTTGATTACCGTAACTGTAATTTCCATAAGGGCTGGCGGTGGTGAGTGTTGAGTTGCCAGTTGAGTTACTGTAAGAGGAATTTTGATTACCGTAACTGTAGTTTCCATACGGGCTGGCGGTGCTGAGTGTTGAGTTGCCAGTTGAGTTACTGTAAGACGAGTTTTGATTACTGTAACTGTAGTTTCCATAAGGGCTAGCGGTTGTGAGTGTTGAGTTGCCAGTTGAGTTACTGTAAGACGAATTTTGATTACCGTAACTGTAGTTTCCATACGGGCTGGCGGTGCTGAGTGTTGAGTTGCCAGTTGAGTTACTGTAAGACGAATTTTGATTACCGTAACTGTAGTTTCCATAAGGGCTGGCGGTGGTGAGTGTTGAGTTGCCAGTTGAGTTACTGTAAGACGAGTTTTGATTACTGTAACTGTAGTTTCCATAAGGGCTGGCAGTGGTGAATGTTGAGTTGCCAGATGAGTTGCTTGAGTTGTATGTTGAGTTAGAGGTTGTATTAACTGAAATATAGCAAAAGGCAAATGAAACGGGACTGAACGTCCTACCTTGCTGAACCAGTATAATGAAAATAGTCATACGTTATGCAGTGTATTATGGGCGATATGTTGCCTTGCCAGTGCAAAAAAGTAAGATGTTCGGCCCAGTTTCATGTTATTTCAATTTTTGAGTTACAGATTTAAAAAAAAGTGTACGACACAATTATGTGGAATACAAGTTATGTGGATGTTTATTTTTAACAAGGTTCCGGTAAACTCTATTCCACATTTCGTGATTTTACATAAATTAAGCATTATTAGACACCTCTAATACCCTCGGGATTTCTCAACGTGGTTTCCGCTTGTCACCTTGTATTCAAAGTAAGAGTAGGCCGCAGTGCCACTCTCCAGATTAAATAGGACGTTAAACCCCATTTCGTTTTATCTAACATAATATAATACACAGTAAGTAAGAGTAACGTAACATAGATACAGAACTGAATAACAACAAAGGAAATAATATAATACGCAGTAAGTAAGAGTAACGTAACATAGATACAGAACTGAATAACAACAAAGGAAATAATATAATACACAGTAAGTAAGAGTAACGTAACATAGATACAGAACTGAATAACAACAAAGGAAATAATATAATACACAGTAAGTAAGAGTAACGTAACATAGATACAGAACTGAATAACAACAAAGGAAATAAAATGCGATGGGGTTTAACGTCCTTCTTTTCTGCACCAACTTGGCTACTTATGGCGGAGAGAGAGGTGGGGTAGGGGATAAAGTACACTCGACACAAACTAGGTCATTTCGGGACTAACATATGGTTCAATTTTACTTCAATAATTCGCTTGCGTGTAGGGGTCTTTATCAGTGGGAGGAAACCACATTGGTAAAGCCGACAGCGACTGGAATGCATATTCCTGAAGCAAATGTCCGAGAAAAGGCCTCTCTGGCCATTGCTGGATTGACTTCTGATACTTGGGCTTTTAAGGGAGTGTGTCTGTCTATTCTTCCCGTTCAGTCAAATCTATCCCAAGTATAACAACATCACAGTCCTTTGTTTAATCTGGAATCTTCCCTAAAACTTTGGACAGTGATTTAAGGTATTAAAAACAGTGAAAGGATTCTTCGTCTCCAAACAGTATTGTTTACATTGTACCCGTTTTGATAGCCTCGTTTGTCACGCAATCAGTTTTTCTGCAATATTCTGATATGCAATTGTTAATTAGGCGTAATAAAATCGTGAGTCATGACGTAACGTTATGTAAATATATTTGGTCCAATTTGGAGCTCTGTTTAAAGCATAATAATATTGCTTCGCAGTTAGCAATTGGTTGTTAATCGGACTATTGACCAGTCATAATTTGGAACAGAAATTTGCTTCCATTACAGCAGAGTTAAGTGTGATTAGTTCTTATCAAACGAAACACCGCGAGGAGTATGCTAGAATACGGCTTAAGTAGTAACAAAAGATATGGAATTGATAAAAACTTTACTGAATGTGAACTGAAAGGTTATATTTTGTACTTGTTATTATTGGGGTCAATGCTGGGATTATTTGCCACTGGGTATCCCGAGAAACCCGGAGGACCCGGAGAAAACCCACGAGGTTGGACAGGCTCCTCTACTCCTTGTCACGTAAAACATGGAAATCGAAACCACGCCAGCTGACTCAATGAGAGACCTTATGTTACAACGCGCACTCGCTAACTATTCGGCGACTATATTCTCTTTATAATACATGACCCTACCTTGACCTGGCCTGATTTCAAGTGTAAATCCTGATCGAGTTACGCTGCTGTCACTGGTAAATTGAACTAAAATACATCCATTTGACGTCGATACTGGAAACGTTAAACAAAAATATTATGTTTTAACAAAAATGTATATATTAATTATGTAGGAAATTGAGAAACAATATTAATGTTTGATATAATTTCTTTAAAAATATGGAGATATAAGATTCCTTCCGAAAGGTAGGGAATGGAGAACGGGTTTAAATTACTTAGACTAATATATTAACGGGGATATAGTACCGCCTTCCCAGCCAACAAGAGACAGTCCACACTCATGCTGGATAGCGATATTTGTGTGTAGAATGGGTTTAACGTCCACTCGACACAAACTAGGTCATTTCGGGACTAACATATGGATCAATATTATTTCAATAATTTGCAAGCGCGTAGAAGTCTTTAGGAGTGGAAGGAAACTGGAGGACCTAGAGAAAATACGTGAGATTGTACACTCGACCCAACTACTTGTCACGTGCAAGCGGGGAATCCAAACCACGTCACTCGACACAATGACAGACCTTATGATCAAAGCCCCCACCCCTCCCCGATCCGCCCCCTGCACAGCGTTTGTTTTGCTCAATATCTTCCGCCTATCGAACTTCACAGTTTTTAGTATCTTTTCTCCAGTTAACGGCTTGCAAATTCAGAATAAATCGGATCTAGTAACGTAAAGGAATTCTTACCATTATTTAGATCCCTTGTATTCCCACCACAGTATTTGAAACCTTGTATGCTTACTGCGTCATAAGAACAAACTGGATGCGATTCGATGTCCATTCTCGTGATTCTAACACTAGCTGATGATGTATTTGTGCAGACTCTCCAATCACAGTAAGCGTTATTTAAATAATCTCCATTCGTACCTGGGTAATTAATTACCGTCGTATTCCCAACTGACGTTGATGAACAAACTAAAATATAAAGTATAAGACATATACCTAATTAACAAAACACAATACTTTTGATGGAACAGCCATTGGTGTTATTACACAAACACGACGTTTTGACAAGTATTCCAATGTCGTTATAAGCGTGTCGGGAGCCACAGTGGCTAAGCTAGTAAGACGATGGCTCCAGAGCATAGAGGTTGCGGGTTCGAACCCTGTGTTGGCCGAGAAAGTTCAACGGGATTTTCCGACGTGGTTTCCCCTTGTCATTGGAGCAGGACAGAGGACCTGACAAGGAGAACTGTCTAGTCGTTCGGATGGGACGAGAAACCGAGGTCCCGTGTACACATTGGCGTAAAAGATCCCTTGGTCGTTTGAATTCGATTTAAGAGTACGCCATGTCGGAGTAGAACAGTAGGACGTAAAACCCCATTTCATTTCATTTAAAAAAAGGGGGAAGGTTCGTGATTGTGTAATACACCATGAATTGTTTCCTATGAAGATTGTTTTCTGTTAATTCATGATATCCAATTTGATCATATGGATTGGAGGTGGTGCTATTGTAGTATTTACAAATGTATGAATAATATTATAAGTCAGTGCTTGTAAAACTTACCATTTCGTTTGAATCTTGGTTTTGCAACAACAACCTAGAGTTACAAAGTTTTAAAAATTTTTTAATGAGAGTTAGTTTAATAAAACAACCTGGATGGAAGTTCGGCTGAATTTAATTTTCTTATTTCGCTTTCACAATTTTGTGCTGATGTGTATATGTATATAAAGATATATTTATAAGTTAACTGGCTTAAAGTCAGCAAGATCTTAAAAACACCCATAAAAAATAAAATAAAATAAAGGCAGTCTGACATGAAAAGACAGCAATGGGCCACAGTGAGGATAACATTTTTTTGAAACTCGTCAGACCATGCATAATGAATTTCAAGATTATAGCCCATTATATATACCCACAGCTCTATACTAACAATACAAGATGTGAGTGTATGAGGCAGGAGGTCAGGACTCCATCTAGAACGACTGATATCCTATTTTATCTGAGGAGTTCACATAGCTATTGCGATTTTGTTTTACTTTTTTATCTAAACATACATTATGCAAAAGTTAAATCTGACTATTGCAGGTCTTTCTTTAGGCCTGAAATGTTATATAAATTAATTTGGATACATTTTGTGATTTAACGTCAAAATGGATAATCGTGACTTTTTTTTTTAATCGAACCGACTTTAAAAATGATGATCGAGGCTAGGCCTAAAATTCAATCGATAAAATCTCGGTTCAGAATGGAGCAATTTTACTGAATTTTTAGCATATTGTCTTTACGTCATCTATTTTTTAACTATTATATTAACTGTTATCTCTTTACCTAATCTTACCTAATGTTCCTTTAATATTTAAAGTTTGCAAACAAAATGTCGAAATTTGAATAGCGACTATCAAATGCATAAAAAAAATGTTAAATTTAAACGGCTTTATCGTCAGTATGAAAGGGCAATGATAAATGATAAATAAAATTACCTTTGCGCCAAACCCCAGATTGGCTACAACCAGAAGAACTACCAGTGTTTGTGGGAACATCTTGATGAACAAACTCTGTTTCAAGTTTAATTGTAAAACTGATCAAATGTTTGGTTTATATACTCTCTAAAACGCCTAATTTTTAAAAATTTCAAACATAAAAATGCACCTGTGTTGAAACAGCTTAATATAAAATCTATTTACAACTAACAGTGTTTGTTTTATTTATTTTGTTTTATTGTATATTTTGTACAAGCCAACCAAGTATTTGTGGTTATGTATTGTCATCACTCATGTCCGTCCAATGGTCTGTGCGACCCCTTCCCTAAATCTGCCGTGCAGTAACCCTTACAACTAGCACACATTACAATTGACATCATGCCTTTTTAGAAACGCTGGTGCACGACAGTGGTCCTGACAAGGGCAGCTGTCTAGTCGTTCGGGTGGGACGAAAACCCGAAATTCCGTGTACACATTGGCGTACACGTGAAAGATCCATTGGTAATTGGAATTCGATATAAGAGTAGGCCATAGCGCCCCTGTCCGGACAAATTTCCCTCATAGCCCACTGTATGTCCATCTTCATTAGCCCGGTCGGAGCAGGACAGTAGGACGTTAAACCCCATTTCATTTATAAGAATTGTTAGACTTTCTTTATGTTTACAACTCTTAACGAAATTTTCAGTCATTGGCTACGGATACAGCTACAATTCAGCGGTCTTTATATACAGCTGTGGTTAGGTTGATTTGATTTCGAGGCCTATTTTGTTCTGTTTCCTATCTGTAAAGGTCTACAAGAGTTCACAAAGACATGTTCTGGTTAGCTTTTACGCTCATAAATATATGAGAGTTCCCGCACATGTAACAATCCTTAAGACATAACTTGACAGAAGGGTCAAATTCGTATATGCCGCAATTGGAGGGGTAATGCATATCCTCGCTACAAAATACAAAATTAAATGGACTTTAACGTCCTACTTTTCTGCCCAAGTCGGGCTAAACAAGACAGACATTTTGTATTATATGTTTAATTCTTATAATTATGTTCAAATACTTCATGTTTAAATATTTGATTATTTTTGATATTCCGATGGCTTTATATATATATAGAAAAAACAATTCAAACACAAATATCGATTATTGTGAATCAAGGACTATTTTGAGTTTGATTTTGCAGGTGCTTCATGGTAGAAAAATAAGGTCGTCGTTTAAATTTCTATGAAAAATGTTTTTTATTTATATACTCATAAAGTAACGGGTAATGGTAATTAATTACTTTCAATGTAATGGGTAATGGTAATGAATTACATTGCTAAAAATGAGAAAGTAATTGTAATGATTACATTTTAAAGTAATGGTAATGTAATTGATTACATTGGCAATGTAATGGCCCCAGTCCTGCTCAAGAGTGGAAGAGGTGGGGGATAGCCACCCGAGACGAGAATTTATGAGACCAAGATTTCTAGACTGCAGTTGTTGGCGTAGATTTCGATTCTGAGTGGCGATCAGGTGTTTAAGGGGGCTTTCCGAGATACGGGGGCGGGGATTGGGTTGTGGGATGGTTCCAATGACTTAAATTCGGTGGAAATGTGGTAATTTCGATTATCATTTTATAGCACACCATACACATCAATAGGACCGTTTTGGGTAACTGTTTTGTTTTGTGTGTGTGGGGGGGTGGGATTTAGGGCTGTAGACAGGTGGTCCGATTCCTAAAAATGGAGGAAAAGTGAGAATGTTGACGTAAAGGATGGTTGTGGAGGGGTGGGGATCAATGCCTAAGTTGATATCAGTGATGGTAAGTAGTAAAATATTAATTTCGTGCGCTAAATAAGGGCTGTAGACAGGTGGTCCGATTTCTAAAAATGGAGGAAATGTGAGAATGTTGACGTAAAGGATGGTTGTGGAGGGGTGGGGATCAATGCCTAAGTTGATATCAGTGATGGTAAGTAGTAAAATATTAATTTCGTGCGCTAAATAAGCGTATAAAATGCCCCTATAGGCGTCTTTTTCGCTTTGTGAGTAGCGGGGAATATTATAGGGGATGGGGGTCAAAAATCAAATTCTGTGGACCAAAACTACCTGGTTCGAAATTGGCCTTGATGATCACGCTGTAATATATTAATGTCTTGCGCTGTACGTGAATCTGTAACATAATATATAAGTAAGATGCCCTTCCTTGGACAGCCCGTTTGCTTTGTGGGGGAGGCGGGGGGGGGGGGGGCAGACAGCCACTCAGCTTTGGCCCTACTATGGCCCACATTTGGCAACATCTGGCTGGATACATCCAGCCAGATGTTGCCACATGTGGGCCATAGTCTGGGTAACACTTTTTTTTTTGTAACTGGTATCTAAAAGGTTTTAAATTTTTTGTTTTATATTCCAAACATTTGAAAAAATAACATTATGCGAGAAGCTTGCCATGTTTGGGCCAGAGATGGCCCACATCCAACTGGCCAAATGCCTCAAAATATCAATCCAATAAATTTCGGCTCAGAATATGACTTCTAGTTTCCAGCAGAATTTTCCTGGGTGCTGAGGTCCTGCAGTGTTCTATATTAGTTTTATTAATATTTTTTTAATGTACTGTATATAATATGAATGGAATCACCTCACCCCGCCCTTCAAAAAAAAGGCCAGTAAATATGAATCTTTAAAGCAAAAATAATAAATTATTTTTAAAAAATCAATGAAATAAAGACAAGTTATACAATTTGTTGAAGATACATGTAGCAGGTCAACCGTGCAAACCTTTCAACAAAGCATAATTAACAGCCAATTTACTATCTTGAAATCTGTTTGGTCATTGGCTGAATTTTAAATTTTAAAATTCAGTGTAAAACAACTTAATAGAGAAGAAACTGAAGACATTGCAGTGGTATACAACTGCACATTATTTTCACAGAACTTAGTTAAAGACAAAAAGATAAGTATATTTTATTACTTTCTCTGCAATAATATTAAATTAGATAAGAATTATGTGATTTTTTTTATTTAGATAACTTCATTTAACTATTCTTTTGCCTTGGCATCCTCAACAGAATTCAAATTAATCAACAGAGGGAAAAAAAATTAGTTTATCAAATTAGAAGAAATCATGTGCCAACTATATTTTTTCCAAAAATAAGAATTATCTGACTTAACCCTTTAACACTTGCATTGACAGACCCCTAGAATATAATTTAGAAGTAAAAATGTGTTTTTATGTACATTTTTTGCATTTATTGCAGGTGTGATCAAACTCTACCATAAGGATATGTGCATGGTTGAAACTAATTTCAAAAATGTTGTAAAAAACTGGTTCAATGGAGGAAGAAAAAAACAAGGGGAAAAGAGGAGGAGACAGCCGCAGGAGAGGGAACAGGGGAAGGATGATATTGACTTAGATCAATAAATTTTATAATTGAAGATTTTGCTTTTGTTCATTTCTACCATCTAGATGGTACTCGGAAGAAAGTCTTGGCTGTTTCTGCTGGAAAGACTTTAAGAAGGGGAAAGGAATGCGTTTTAACGTCTATTTGACACAAACTAGGTCATTTCGGGACTAACATGGTTCAACCCTAGTGGGAGGAAAGGAAACCGAAGCGGTTGGACAGGCGACCCTACTCCTTGTCGAAACCATGCCACTTATAACTTCATGCGCACACGTTAAACCACTAGATCATCCAACTTCCCTCTTTATAAAGGGATAACCGTATGGTTTCAGTTTGCCATCGTTGGACTACATCTGGCATGGCATGATTTTCATGTGTGGGACATATTTGGGCCAGGGATGGACCAGTTGTGCCATCTCTGGCCCACATGTGGCATGCCATATCTTTGGCAGCTGTTACCAGATCTGGGCCATACAAGGCGGGCGTGTGCATTAGCGAATGTGGGCCAGCTCTGGCTGGGCCACACCCGGCCCAGATATGCCAGATCTGGCCCAGTTGTGGTATGCCATATCCGGCCCAATTATTTTGTCAGATGTTGCTACATATGGGCCATGTCTGTGCCAAATATGGTGTGCTGTCTGGGGGGGGGGGGGTAATATTCATATTAATGATGATCATCCTATAGATTAGTAAAACATTGGAGGGTTGGGAGATTAGGTGGCCGAATGGTTATCGCATGCGCCTGTCATTGAATCAAGTGGCGTGGTTTCAATTAATTAAAAATAAAATCGAACCATATGTTAGTCCCGATATGACCTAGTTTGTCTCTAGTAAAAGATTGCTTTCTAGCACTATACATATCTATGTCATTTACGAGGACTGAAATATAACAAATTATTTGTTAACAATTGTCTAAAAAGATTCTGCGAATCATAATCCTAATTTGTTACGCTTGGTGTACGTATGATTTCCAGAACAGTCTTGTAAGAAGCAGTCTTTAATTAGGTTTAAAGAAACTTGTTTATTTCGGAACTAAAATAACGGAAAAAAAGCAATTACATGGGATTCCAACTTGACCGTCTATCGTGCATTCGGCAAGCCGGCGACCCCCCTCGGCAGTAACTTTTCACTAGGTACGTCGGAACTGATGAAAAGCTTAACAACTGTATGTGGTATTCTCTTTTGATAACGTTCTCAATCGTCTAGAATACACCCGTATTAAATCAGCTTGTAATACAACCCAGATCATTGTGAGGTAAACGTCAGCTGTATTCATTTGGATTGTTTAACTTTGGGTTGAAACCAACAATATTTTGTAATATCAGCTGGAAATGGTCAGGTAGGCTAAACTGTGTGGACCGAATAAAGGACGAATTGAAAAGCGCCATTTAAAGAAATAAATATGGTCAGGAAGGTTGCCTTAATTCTTTAATGCTACTAAATCGGTTATATTTTATCATCATTGGCTTTATCTTTAGAAGTAAAATTTTGAATGCCATGGAGACAGATTGTCCCCTAATAACATAAAATTCCAATGACATTTTTACTGAAATCAAACAGAGAGAGAGAGAGAGAGAGGGGGGGGGGGGGGGTAACGTCCACTCGACATCAATTCGCTTGCGCGTAGAGGTCTTTGGCATTGGGATAGCATTGGGAGGAAACCGGAGCACAAATCAAACTTTTCTATAAAGTAATTTAAATTGTGGCCCATGTTGATTTGTCCCAGCATATAACAAACAT